CTACACCCTAGCATCATCAAGATAGTTATTTTACTTAATTTGTCCTTGGCCTAGGCTAGTAAGTTACTGTTTTAAATTATTGATTTTCAGTACCCTATGACTGAGCTGAGCCCTGGTAAAAGTATTTAATAATAGAAAATGTTTAACTTAACTTATGCATAATGACTCTAGAATTTGTTATATTGAAGATGTTAAATCACTAGGTTCAGCTACTTATCCGTTTTTGAGGTGTTGAAGATCTACGTCTTTATGGCACAGGCTATATTGGCTTAAGCTAGTCCTACAAGTTCAGCCTGATATAATTTCACTTCACTAATTAATTAATTATACTTTAACACATTTTATAGGCTGACTCGCTCATATTTAGACTTCTTGATGTTCTTCATCTCCTAACCTAGGCTACCTAGCCTAGGACGATACTATCGATTTATGTTAGAGACTAACTCCGGTCTTTACTCAAGCACGGTTTCTTCATAGGTGTTCAGTGTTCGACTGCCGTTGCAACTCGACCCGTTTTTTCTAAGAACGCATGTTATTTCAATTTTTTAAGTTGTTATTACAATTTTTGCACCATAGCTAGAGAAAATTCAAAAAATCATTCTATTTTAATTTGGCTTTTATCAGACCTGTAATTCTCGAGATATTTGCTTTAATAACTTTAACTATTTCCCCCTTCTTCAATCTTTTTTTGCGCCATAACCGCCAAATTAAAAACCATTCCTACATTTTTTTTAGTTTAATTTATTCTTTAAGAAATCTATACAATCGTCTTCAGAAACATATTTAATCACTTTCATCTGATTTAAGTTTTTTGATTAGTAATTTTCGAGTTAATTGCATTTTAGTCTCGGACTATTTTCTTTGTCAATTTTGCTCCGCGCAACGTCATGGCAGTTTTTGCTCGGACCTTGTAAATTAATACCTATTTTAAATTTAAATTTTTTACTTAATTTCTCTAATTTGTCCGATCATTTTGATTTTTTAACACAAGTAAGGGAATTTCATATGATTTTATTTGGTAACACTTTGAGCTCGATAGGACAAGTAGTTTTTTAGATATTCAAGTTATTCGATACGTCATTTTTCTACAATAGGTATATTTTAATTTAGTCTAACATATGATTTAAACAGATTTTGACCTCCCTGACAATTCATTACGAAGGCTATGTTCAATATCAATCTTTAGATGCAATGTTTTGACAGCTGAAAGCTTGTATCGTTTTTACTAAATTTTATTTTAGTCTCAACTTGGAATACCCATTACATGTCGATCTTTTATCTTTATTGGTGTCAAGTGTCAAGTCATAGTGATTGAAGTGATATATTTAAGATTCGGGACAGTGAAGGAGCTTACAACATACTCGTTCGTAAACCTTTAGTAGACAAGTTTAAGCGGCACTTCCGTGCAAGACCAATTTTTCTTTTTGGTTGATCACATCAAAGATGACTTACACACCAATGCTACTAATCGAGACAAACAACCTTTGAATGCCGAGATTAACCTGGCGGTAACATTAAGGTATGTACCAACATTTAGTATTTTTGTTATTTATTTAACGAAATAGCACAAGACATAATGCAACTGCACGGTCACAATAATGCATGGCTCTTCTCCGCTGGCGGAATCCGCACTGCCACTGCTCTCAGACCAGTATGATTTGTCTGCCATGCGGAACTGAAAATTCGGGATGAAGAAACTCACGTCAGTGGAACCGCACACAAGGAAACTCCATTAAACCAGTGTCGTTGTAATTCCACAGCGGAAAAAATCGCACCGCAAGGCAGAGATTCCGCAGTCTGTGGAACCATAGCTTAAGGTTGATTTTGGTTACTAAATCATTTTTCATGTCATTACATGTTAATATGTTAAAGTTTAAATTATTAAAGTCCTCTGTAAGATCTGGTTAAATACAAACTTTCCTCAATATCACTGTGTTTATTTTTATATGAATGCTATTCCAGAAAGTATGGAACATTTGGAATAAAATAGGTTTGTGGGCCTACAAAAATAAAAATAGCATTATATACATTTGAAAGAGCAACTAAAATACTTCTTCCCTACATAGTTGTATGACAAATTGAGGCAATTATCAAAGCGGTGGGCTAGCTTTGAAATTCCTTTTGTAGAACTTGGCCACCTGTGAGCTGCCCCATGAAATGCAATTGGACCGCCCTTACCCATTTTTTCTGTACACTTCACACCATTGACAGTAATTTTGTAAAGCTCTTAACCCTTCCCGGATTAGTGACGGATATATCCGCCTAAGTCTTTGGCGATAAAGGACGGGTGGCGGATATATCCGCTTATGGTTTTTGATGTTCCGGACGGGAAGCGGATACATCCGTCTTCTCTTCAGACAGACTGGCAGGTGCTTGAGAAGTAACAAGATGTTTCGCAGTACCAAACACTCCCCCCCTACACTCCCCCCTCAACGTTTCGCGCTCAACACAACGTAGTCTTTATTTATTGTTTACATATTGTTCTGTATTTATTGCCTAACTTTGTTATGGTCATATCTTCAAAGACGGGTGGCGGATATATCCGCTGCTTTTCTACACATCTGCGGACGGGTAGCGGATATATTCGCATAGTTAAAAACTAGTAAAAAATTATTTTGACAGTATGAAGTGTTCCATTGTGTTTATTTTATGTATACTTGTATAACAAAACATAAGTAAAGCCAATTAAGAAAAACAAAGATAAAAGTTTGGATGATTTTTGAACTATTTCATTGTTGTCAGTTTTCTCAAATTTGCTAGAAAGAATAATTTTAAACAGACTTCTACCTTATCTTTGAAAAACATCAAATAATTAACAAAGAACAGTTTGGATTCAGGCAAAATCTTTCAACCATAGATACAGTTTCTAAATTTATCGATTTCATCATTAAGAATATGGATAGTAAAACCTCTTCTGCCGCAATCTTTTGTGACTTGTCAAAAGCGTTTGACACTATTGACAGAAATATATTGCTAGAAAAAATGGAAAATTATGGAATCAGAGGACAAGCGATTAACTTAATTAAATTCTATTTTGAAAAACGTTTTCAGATGGTGCGGACTGCGGATAAATGACCAAAGTGGCTCATATGACACCGATTGGCAAATTTGCCATACAGGATATCCACGATATCCACAAGGATCGATATTAGGGCCGATTCTTTTTTTAACTTATGTCGCAGACTTGCCCAAAAATGCTGATTCCACTTTTTCGAATACAATTCAGTACGCTGATGACACTACTGTAGTAGTCCAAGAAGGGAGTCAAGGTGGTCTTGATCTTAATATTGAGGATTGCATTTTTAACTTAAGCACCTGGTTTAAAGAAAATGGATTTAAATTAAATTAAAACAAAACTGAAATAATCAAATTCAAAACTCGTGAACCTTCATAAAATTCAAGTGAAACCGAAAAAAAATTTTATAAATTTTTAGGAATAACCATAGATATGAAATTAGAATTTTCTATACATATTGATACTTTCAGGAAAAATTAAATTCTTCTTGTTTTGCTCTTAAAGTACTATCAAACTCAGTTGATAAAAACATTTTAAAACTGTTTACTTTGCAACTATTCAATCTAGATTAACTTATGGGTTGGTAATTTGGGGTAGTACTTCGTGTGAAAATTTTAATAGAATATTCCGAATTCAGAAAAGGGCCATTAGAATTTTGCATCATATTCCGGTTGATGAGCACTGTCAACAAATATTTCAAGAATCAAAATTATTAACTTTACCTTGTCTTTATATTTATGAATTATGTAAATACTTCATGAAAAATAGAATCCTTTTTGAAAAATCACATGAATGCGTATAACACAAGACGTAATTTTATAATATATCCCTCGCACTCAACAGCAAAATTTGAAAAATCTCCTGATTATATGACTCGTAGGGTAATTAATAAATTCTTATTATTAGAAAAAGACACAGACTTTAACAATTGTTTTTTTTAACAAGGTCAGGCAATACTTGTATTACAATGCATTTTATACTTTGAATGACTTTTTTAACAGTAGTGCTAAGTTAGTTTAAGCTTTGAGATGACATTGTACTTACTCATCATTAATTTATGACTATTCTATATGTACATATTTGTATATTTATGGATAAATAAAACTCTTTCTTTCTTTCATTAATAAGGAAAATTTATTTTTATTTTTTCCCGTCCTATGTCACGATTTTGCCCGTCCGGAAGGGTTAAGTTTAAGGCCAGTAAAAAAGTGTTCCAGCCCACACCCCACAACTAGCAGGATTTCCAAATGCAGCACACTTGAGCTTATATATTGCGACAACCCACAGCAAAACGGAACTTCCCTGAAACAGCTGGATAGTCGATGCCCAAGTCTCAACTAGAAATTGAGTGATCAGCATGCGCCTATCGTCAGACAAATCAGTCCTTACTTTCTGAATAGCCTTCATATTAAACCTCATAGAGGATTATCTCTGGTTCCGCCTCCTCATGTATGACACTACAGATGGCCCACGGACGATAAGTGTCACTTCCGGTGCTGCCCAAGGTTTCATACTCAGCCAGACCTCTGGAATGTCGCGTATTACAGCCTCCTGAGGTCTGAAATGCCTGAGGAAACTGTTCTGGTTGGGTACGCAGACGACGTTGCAGTTTTGATAGCTGCACGTACCGTTGAGTTGGCTCAGCTAAAGCTGAACCGAGTTAAGCGTACCATAAACGCATGGATGGCAGACCACGGTCTCTCGCTTGCTTTGAGCAAAACTGAGATCGTGATATTAACAAAAAAACGGATTAACACCATCATTCCGTTGAGGGTAGGGGCCATCGAAGTCCAGACCGTTCATTCTGCCAAGTACCTAGGGGTTATGGTGGACAAATCCCCACAGTGTGTACACCATACATAGATAGTCCTACGGAGTGAATAAATGAAAGTATGGAAATGTTAATAATAAGTTAAATAGGCTTATATAGGCCTAGGGAAAGTTGTTTCAGGCTTCAATGTTATTTATTATGACTATCACTCACCGTTGCAGAGATTGATATTAGAACAGGTATTTTGTCCTTGTACTGCAAAAAACGAATTTCAACTTCATCCTTCACTTCAGAGCGGTATAAACTGAAACAAGCAATTTGTATATATATATTACTGAAAATGGAATGCCTCAAACCGAGTGTTACGAACTAAAAACTAAATTTAAATCGTACTTTAAGTCATTCAAGGCAGGAGTGCCGACTAGTTGTGCTCACCACATCTTGAACCCAAGTTTTTGGCCATCGGGAGTCTTGGTTAGGAATTTCATTCCCTTTAAACGCAGTGTTTTACCAGTGGGGAATTCTAAACCTAGATCTTTTTTTGGGAGAACTGTCTACTGCACTCAACCAACATAGGCTAAACTGGAAATGGGCCAAACTGCTACATTCTGGTTACCTACCCCTACTGTAACACACGATCTACTGTTATTATACTGTGCCCACGGAGTGTAAACAAATGGAGGCTTCTCCTAAATAATCAATATAGAAACCAAGGTTGTATCATTGAATGTACAATGTATGAGAACTAATTTTGATCTTTTGACCCTTTTTGTCAAAGAAGTGAAGTACGATCTTCTATTCGTATCTCTGAACGTTGGCTCGTTATTGAGGAGAATGACACCTTTAGATGCATAGCAGACTTACAAATTGTAAATGGCAGCTCCCACAAAAATGTTGGGGTACCTATTTATGCTTTAACACGTATAGGTAGATCACCTGATGGAGACATTGACAGTTTTTTTTACTCAACTTTACCTTTGTTTGCAATATCTATTTGGACTTTCAGCCAAGAAATAATTGTGATCTGTGGTGATTTCAATGTTCATTTAGAACGTCCATCAAGAGAGGATGCCAACTTCTCGAATCTACTGCGAACCTACGGCCTTTATATAACCACTAAACTACCAACCCGAGGGAGTGCGTGCCTGGATACGGCGGCTACTAATTTTAACACCTGGGAGTATTCGGTGTAAGTTGTCAACGCACTGGTGGCTGACCATGATAGAGCAGTGGTCCTGAGTGTGAAGACAACGGAAAGGGTGAGAAGGCCTAATAATTTATTTATTTCATTCCAACGGCAAATAATGTAACTTACCAATTCTTAATAGGAATCACGATGTAACGTGGCTACATACAAAGAATATACAACAATATACAGAAATACAAATACAGATAAGTTACAGAATAATGATTTACTAGATAAATATGTCATTGAGAGAAGAACTGTAAATAAGTTAGAGAGAGTTTTGCTTTGTTTTGTACGATGCTAAGTAGCCTACTGCTAGTTTTAATGTTCCTAGTGATTCTCCAAAGCCCGATGTGAACTTCCTCCTTTTCTTTAAGCAAGTAGGTACATTTAAATACATTATTACACTGTTTTACCAATTAAAATTCTTAAGGGTCAATGTCACAGAATGGGATAAGTTATGTCTCAGGTATAAATAAAAAATAAAACTGAATAAAAAATGATAAAATGTGTGTACTTACTTATTTACCTTATTTCCCAATAATATATTCCTTTATTTTAGCAATTACATGCATAATTTAAAAGTTTTATAGGTTACAGACGCATATTTACAGTCCGGTCACTAACCTAAACATCAAATGAGATGTCAAATATGGAAAAACTCTAAAAACACGACAGAGCTTTGAATATAGGTTATACGTAATACTTATTATTCGAATACGTCATCTGTTCAATCTTAAAATTGGTCGGAATATTGATTTTTCGACCTAATACGTCAGTCTCCAAGTGCCACCAAGATATGGACTGTGAAAATGACGTAGCCCGCCAAAGCAGCAAAAAAAGTTGTAAAGCGCGGCAAATTGTCCCAGTCTTGTGAGTACCTTAAAGTTGCTGTGAGTTGAAGTTTTCGCCAGAAGAAATGTTGATTTAGAAATTATAATCAAAACAACAGGTAAGAAACACATCGTAGGCTACCTTAATTATGTTACAGTTCGGTCACTCACACTAATCTGATATATTCCAATAAAACTGGCAAATCAAACGTTGGACTAGCTGTAGAATTGTGCACAGAGCATAACCTGAAAATGAGGCCTAGCCTCGTCAACTAGCCTAGGAGCTATATAAATAATATAGTAAGATTACGGTCTTGTTACCGGAGCTGTTTTTCCGTGACCGGGCTGTAATATAGTGCCAAAATGTATAATAAACGCAGGTTGCTCTTATTTTATTATGTTATTTGATACTATTCTAAATTTAACTAACAACACAAAGATTAAACTTTAACTAAAAATAGTTTTAAAAAACTAAATTGTTATAAGAAATTTGTTTCCAAAATATCCAGGTATGAATGAATTTCCGTTTTAGTTCTTTGTTATATGATAGGCCTATTTAATATTTGTCGTTTACGATTCTATGGTCAGTTTTTAACTATATTGTTATGCCTGACCAGCATGGTTAACTAAGTTAATAGGATAAAACCAAAGAAGAAATAAAACGTTAAAGTTTCACACAAGTTTAATTTTACATTTTAAATTGAATCAAGAAATTTACACTCAAGTAAGTTCATATGCTTAAATTAGATACGCAAGTTCATCTCTAAAAGGATTAATTATTATTTAATTTCCAGAATCTTAAATACTAACATAGAAATACTACATGATAGAGAATACCTAAGTGAACCAGAAAGTGAGAGAGAGACTAGAGGGGGGAGGAATTACTTACTAGTTCGAAAGTTGATGATGGAATGATTGTCTAAAAATTATAAAAAGAGTTCTGTGACAGTTATCCCCTCTACTGTTACTTATTAATTGTATTTACCATATATGGAGTATCCTTGAAAAGGAAAGCTCTCATTGGTTGTGGGTTTGCAGGACAGTGGGGGACATCGTCACAGGAAGTACACTTCCTCGAGACGAGCGCGTGTCAGCTGATAAAATGTTTATACAACTTTCAATAAATTTTGAAAATTAATAAAAGATTTATTTTGACTTATTATTGTTCCCTTAGACTGAATTTAATAAATATACATTGCTTAATAAATATACATTGCTCATCATCACATTCGCACCACCGCAAGAGAAAATCATACCCTTTGGGTTTGATTTTCAAGACTTTAAATTCCAATAACAGCCTGTTAGTATGGTGATGTATAATACCAGTTGTATATTAGCTGTCGGTCGCAGTCTATCGCGAGTGGGTTGTTATCAGTAGTTGGATAGCGACCTCCTTCCGGCGGTCCCCTCAAGTCTCTGTCTAATGAAGTAATTTATTTCAACACAATTAATATTAGCTACATCACAAAATAAGCAACAATTAATTAATGACTCAATACTGCAATAAGCAAGATGCCTAGGCTTTACAAGAACATGATTATATTCTAGTAAAGTCAACAAATAATATACTGTATGCTAAATACTAAATTTCACGCATAAAATCTTAGAATATAATTGATACATTTTGTTTATTTACATTTTCAATTACATTAAATTTATTTGTATATATATATATATACATATTAATATATTTTCAAAAGCAAAAAGTTTAAAATTAAGGTTAATCATTGGCAATTAATAAAGTGCGTACAAAATGGTTTCATGTCCATACATATTACATCTACCACATTAATATAGTAACATAAGGGTACACCCTTTTTATTTCGTATACAAAGTACATCAGCAACCCTATTTCATGAATACTAAAATAACAAAATCAAAATATATAAATATCAACGCATATATATATTTGAATTTTCAGTTAGGCACTAGAGTATCTCATGGTTTTGAGCGAGTGTGGGTGCCTTATCAAACCCTCTTCCTAACGCCTCCGCAAGTCACTCCCTAACCAGCACTACTTGTCCTCAGTTGCTCCTAGTCCTTGCCCGTGTTTGACTGTCATCATGCCTCTTGTAGAGCTTGGCGTAGATTGCTACACCCGCGTACCTCCGAACACTGAGCCGGAGTGGGTACACGTAGTCATATCACTAGACACTGAGACTTTGGCTGTCCGTCGATACATCTATCCACTGGGAATCAGAGCAAACCCAAGTCCTCCATGTGCAGCTGGAACCAGAGCCAACCCGAGTCCTCCATGTGCAGCTGGAACCAGAGCCAACTCAAGTCCTCCGGGTGCAGCTGGGTATCTCCCTCTCTCGGTAATCCGCTGCAATGCTCCATCTTCAGCGTTTCCGGTGGTGCCCATCCCTGGAATAGGCCGTGGTCGGCCGCGGTCAGCACCAACTTCTGCTGGGGCTCCTCATGCTCCAAGGTTCGTGCGCGTTCCATTTCCAGCACGCTCATCAGCTGCTCCAAGCCCGCCCCGACGGCCTCCTCCGTCCTCAGAGCCACCGCAGGAGTACGACTACGTGACACTGCTAGATTCTCCACCAGAAGCAGATCTACCTGCGCAACACCCACGGAGCCCAAGCCACTCATGCTGTCCCCAGTTGTGAACCACCAGGTATGTGCCTTTAACTCAAACATTCATAATATAATGTCTTTATGAAGAAATGGTATGTGACCATGTGCGAGGCATATTTGTGGTCACATGACTCCAACAGAGCATATATTTACATCCATTTGACTAGACTTTACACTCAGTATCACGTAAAAAAAAGCAAGTTATTTTCATAAGTAAACTGAATAGAGTGAGTATTTCCATACTCGATACTCATGGTAAAGAATGATCATTTTTCAGTAATTCTCTCCCATTTTTAACTGCCCTCCACCTCTGTGTTCACCTTACATTTATTTATCTAATTAATATTATAAGCAATGGTCTTTGTTCACACTACACACGAGTAAAATTAAGATGTCTACAGCTAATAGTAAGAATTTAAAAAAAATACTTATAATCGAGTAATGTCCTGTACACAAACGTTAAATGTTTCAAAATACGCTAAACAAGGTAACTTATTACCCACGCTAATATGGTTGGTTCAAAATGTCCCATTATCATTGCACAAAACTCATCATTCTTCTAACACAAAATCATACAATAAAATCGATATGTTATGGTCAAACAATTGTGAACACTATTAATACATTTCTAATATATATACAGTTGAGTGTCTAATTTTAATATATAATATTGAAAAATATCTGGAAAGTAAAGTATATATA